GATAACAAAAGAGATTAACACATTTACAAATATACCGAAGCTAACTCACTCGCATCCTAATGCAGTGGGCAATAGTAATTCACTCCACATAAGCACCTAATCACACAAACATATATGAATTTTCTTTCTGGATAATGAGCGTCCTGCGACATTGCTAGACTTCTAATTAGAAACAACAATGATCAAGTGCTCTTTTAATAGGACTTCTAGAAACCCGTAGACCTAATCAATATCTTATGAATTAAATCCCATATCCTTATAACCACATAAGCATGTTATCACGTAGTGTACCATACATACAAATGTCTCTATCAAATGAGACAACCCATTGTGGTAATAACCACTTCCCACGTACCCAAAGTATTCAAACCTGGGACGCTCTGATACCAAGTTGTAACACCCTAAAATTAATACAATAAACCATTTACGACGATAAGTAAATAACAATATACATCAAAGCATAATATCATTCCATTACATAGGACTCAGTTGTACAAAAGAGTGAAACATGCAAATATACATTCATAAGTTCTAACCCTGAATCTATAGCATGTGTCAACAACAAGATATGAAATAGAAGTTAAGCATATAATTGAAATGCCCTGAAGGCTATAACTTTCCAAAATTGTACTTTGTTACATCAAAATGGATTTAAATCCAATACAAATAAAGCCCAAGGCTTGAACAAAATTAATTACAACATAATAACATTGAGCCTTCAGCTCCATAGTTGTCCCAAGCTAAGTCCTTCGTGGAGGCATATCACCAGCACCGAAAAATGGTTTTTCCCACATAGGGTGAGGCAAAGCCCAGTACAAATAGTATAACACAATGTATGAATCTTGACAATGCCATAAGGTGAATGCATATGCAATACCCATGCCAAAACGTTTTATATTTCTTTCCAAAAACCATGCCATGCCAAGTTTATATCACAATTCTTAAAATCATGTCGTTTACAATAGAAAACAGGGGGAAATCTCAAACCAGTGCAATCTTTCATTGATATTTCGTCCGTGGGAAACCTCCAAACGGTACCCATGTAAATGTAGTCTATACAAGCACAACTATTGCGATTTTACGGATACTTCATTCGCGAGAACCAGCACCCATGTATACACGTGTTTTTCGGGACTTTCACTTTGGACACACAGGCCAACTTAATTTGGTGATACACACCTCTTTCCAATGTTCACCATTTTTTTCTCAAAATCATATACATTTTCAATATATTAAATAAGCAATAATGTTTAAAGCACATGGATGCAAAATTAGTTTTAGTTCACCTAATTCTAATGCAATTTCTACAACACTCATAGTTATCCTCCATCAATAGTCCAAAACAGATATCTCTAAACAGATAATTAAATTTCATTATAGATACACTTTTCCAAAATCTCAAATGTGAGAGATAATACATATCTAACTCCGCCATTATCATCAACATTATTTCAATTTCATAATTCTAAACATCAATTCCACTTTTTGTTTACAATCTCAAACGTTCACATTTTAGGGAAAAATTCCTTTCTCTTTGAAAATTAATTTCAATGTAGGAAATACCTCATTTCAACATATAACAACCCCAATTTCATACCCACTAGCTTCTCCAAAAAACCATTTGAAAACCCGACAATGATTTAGACCAGTAAAAAATACACCACTAATAGCACTAATGCATTGGGAATGGTAAAATAAAAGAAAAGAACAAGGCATAGAAAGTAGGCGGGGCCCACTGCCACATCATTAGTGCTCCTTCTAGTGCTCCATTTTTAGTGCTCCCAAGCATTTTTCTTTGAAAACCCCTCTTTTACATTTTGATTTCAAACCCTAGGTTTTTGACAAAAATCCCCAAACCACCATATCTTTTGGAATAACAAATAGCAAAGACAAAACCCATACTAGAGTGTGGAGAATCCCTACCTCGAAGTTAAAAGACCAAGAAGAGAATGGAGAAACCTCAAAGAAGCTGAAATCCAACTTTGCTCGGATGAAAACGAAGCTCTAAGTGAGCTTTACCTTTTTCTCAAAGAAAGTAGGGTAGAGAAATCAATGGATCTAAGTGTTTTAGAAGAGAAAAGATGAGTTTTAGAGAGAGAGAGAGAGTCAAGATCTAGGGTTTTTACAAAGTTTAGAGAGAGAGAGTGAAATGAAAAAGTTATGTAAAAAGTGACTTTTACGGACTGATATACGCACAGTCCGCTTGAGCGCAAGAAGTGACGCTGGAGCGTAAGACACAAAAGATGTGACTGCTCGAGCGTAAGAAGCTGACGCTCGAGCGTGAAATACAAACTTCCAGTAGTTTTATAGACAAAAGACCCAGGCTTGAGCACAGTAAGGGCCGTTGGAGCCAAGAGCACTCGAGCGCAAGAAGTTCCGCTCGAGCGTAAAATATCATCTCCAGTAGTTTTGCAAACCTGCAAAAGTACTGAGAGTTCACAAAGACCGCTTGAGCACAACAAGTGGCGCTCGAGCCTAGGAGCAAAATTTTTAGCAACAAAAGTTTGAAAACCAAGCTACCAACCTGTTCCAAACGCAACCAATACAACCTAATAGCCAAACTCGAAGAGGTGTTAGGAAAATAAGACATAAATGACTATACAAGGAAATGAAACCCGGATCCCAAGAATCAAATGGTTCAGATTTAAACCAGAATCGTTATAAAAATGGTCTAAATTAATTATACAGAATTGGGTCATTTTGAATTTTTAATATTGTATAAGACAAATGAATTTGGAAACCTTTTTTCGGGGTCTATTTTTTGGACCCTAGGCACAACCCTTATTAGCTTTAGCCCAGGCCCGGCCCTCTGAGGCACCACTTGATGTTTAACTTGCAGGTGCATTCTTCCAAAGGAATGCTCCCAATTTATTTATTTATTTATTTTCATATCTATGGTTATATCCCCCAAAAAAAAAATGGTTTGTTTTGGTTCAGTATTAAAAATAGGGTTAAATTTATTTTACCCCTTATGGTTTAGAACTAGAGCATTTTACCTCCCTGTCATTCAAATATAGCTAGAAAGGTCTCATATGATTTTGGACTAAAATGCTAGCATTAGTTTTTCTATCTAAAATAACGAAAGGTGTATTACACATATCATTTTTTAGAGTGAGATTGATTTTCTGAAAAGTTAGTATGAAATTAATACAACAAAAGGACAATTTTACTCTCATTTTCTCCTAACTTAAAATTAGATTAATATATTAATTAAAATATAATATAATATAATATAATTAAGAATTGATTCAAAATGTAAACTATAGTTAAGAATTGATTTAAAATATAATTAAATAAAATATAAAATAGACAATAATTGAGAATTGATCTAAAACGTAATTAAATTAAAATTAGATTAACTTGTTAGGAATTAAAATAAATAATTGAGAATAGAGGATTAATAGTGATATAAAATGTAATTAAATTAAAGCTAGATTAAAAAGTTAGTAATTACATGAATGGTTAAATATTTAGGATTTATTGTGATCTAAAATATAATTAAATTAAAATTAGAATAAAAATTTAAGAATTACAATAAATAATTAAGAATTTATATTTAATTGTGATTTAATTGAATAATACTAGACATTATAAATTATGTATCTGAGAAATAAGAGAGAGATAAAATAATAAAAAATATATATATAAGATTTGAAGGTATCATAGTCATATCAGATCTATAGTTCACGATATTAATGGTTGCATTTTAGTCCAAAACACTATTTTTAAAAGATATTTGGATAAAGTGTTATTAAGCCATAACCCACTTGGAGGTAAAATGAATTAGATTCTATTACAAATAAATGCTCTCAATTTAATCTGTTAAGATTTTTTATTTTTTTTCATATCTATAGTATATCCCCCTCCCCCTCCCCAAAAAAAAAATAAAAATAAATAATAATAATAATTTGCAATCACTAATGCAAATAAAGGACTCACTTCTACACACATGTATATCTATACTATATGTATTCGTCTGAGAATAAAGAAAGTTATTTTGAACATTTTTTTAAGTGGAAAAGTGATAATAAAAATTCTCAAAAGAAATATGATAATAAAAATTTAAAGCATCTTAGTGATATTGTTTTTCCTTACTAATATGTGTTTTTCCAATAGAAACAAAACACACAAAATAATAAGAATAATAATAATAATAACAATGAAGAAGAAGAAGAAGAAGAAGAAGATGATGATGAAGAAGATGATGATGAAGAAGGGGCTAGCGATACCTAACGGAAAATGTTAGAGACTACCAAATTTCTACTAAACACTCGTATGGGTGTGCAGCCCACATGAGTGTGGGTCTCATGCCTATGTGAGTGTTTAGTAAATAATTTGGTAAATTTTTTTATATCCCTAACATTGCTCATACATAATTACATACATGGAGTAATTTACCCTTATGAAGAGATAGGAATTTGATTAACCTTTACTAGCCTTGGAAAAGAAATTTGAATGGTTCAAACCAAACTTGACTGTGAAATATATAGAAAATGTATTTGTGGGAGATATATGAATGCTACTTTTTTTTTTTCTTTTTTTCTCTTTCTTTTATGGAAGGTATATGATTGGAAGATATATATTTATAATTATTGTTAAATATTGATGATTTCTATATCGTTGGTTTCTCTGTTTGTTAACGCCTTTCTTTGTTTAATTTTGTTTTACGTTTTTTTGTAGCTGTATTTTTGGGAGGAGAATGGAGAGCTTTGAAAATCTTTTTATTAAGTTGCTGGTTTTTTTTTTTTTTTTTTGGGGTGGAAGCATAGTTGTCAAATCGGGATTCAAATCGTGAATCGAAAAATGGTTATGTATCGAATCGCGAATCGAATCGAATCGTGAATCGTAAAGATTCAGTTACGTTTTCTAAATTACATAAAAAAAACATATTTATACACTTAAATATTATAAATACGAAATATTTAGATTTAAAGTAATAAAATTGTTACTTTACATAATGATCACGTGATCACGTGGTCTAAATAGGTAAAGACGCTTTTATGGCAAGAGATGTGGGTCCGAGCCCCACCGTGATCTATCATTCTATATTATATTTATGTATTTATGATATAATTTATGTAAATTCACATCACAACATATATGTATGGCAATCCACATTCATTATAATATGATTCTATGAATGTATGATCATGAATAAGGTTCACAACTTAACAAGGTCTAAACTTTTCAAAACTCTAATCTATACATGTAAAGTAACTTGTGTCAAAAAGAGACCATACAAAACAAAAATTAGATTAGACAAAGTTAAAAATTCCAAAAAGCCTTCATTTCTTCATTTCAATCTTCATCATCTCCATGGTCAATATCATCTTTATCATCTTCATCATCATCTACCATAGTCACTTCATCAAACTCTTCTTCCTCTTCCTCTTCCCCACCTTCAATCAATTCAACTCCATCATCATCTTCAAATACTTTTCTTTTTCCTCTATCAGTGGCATTTAAATTTCTTGGTCCTACATTAATAAAATTAAATAAGGTTATGAATGAGCAAGTAAATGTGAAAATATAGAAACTAAATCTTTGAAATTTCTTCCTCTTCCTCTTCCCCTTCCCCACCTTCAATCAATTCAACTTCAACATCATCTTCAAATACTTTTCTTTTTCCTCTATCAGTGGCATTTAAATTTCTTGGTCCTACATTAATAAAATTAAATAAGGTTATGAATGAGCAAGTAAATGTGAAAATATAGAAACTAAATCTTTGAAATTAACTTATTCAAAAATTAAAATATAGAATTATACCTCTTTTTCTCTTTTTGCTAGTTGTTGTTCCTTCATCATCTTCGAAGCACTCTTGGATGTCCATCCATGAATGATCTTCGGGTAGACATGGATCCTTTTTCTCAGCAATCCATCATCATCGGATTCCATATCCGATAAATAAATGGGATCATAAGTCTCACCTCTTTCTTGTCTCTTAATTTGCCTCTACTCAAGTTGAATGTTATACTTCACAAAAACCAAAGCATTCAACCGTTGTTGCTCCAACTGGTTTCTTTTCTTCGAGTGCACATGATGAAAAGTGCTCCAATTTCTCTCACATCCGGTGGCACTACAAGTAAGACTTAGCACTCAAATAGCTAGCTTTTGAAGCTCTTTGCACTCTTCTCCATAACTTTCCCACCATAGAGCTGTAATTAAATGATAAAGAGATGTTAGAGAATAATGCATGCCATTGCCAACATAATTGTTGTGAAATTGTGAATATACAATTTCATAATCAAAAATTGTACCGGGTTGTTTTTCCCTCGTCAAGATCGCCATGCTCATACCAAACATACCCTTGGCTTTCTTAAACTTTTCTAATTGCTCATCAACCTTCACTCTATCCTCTATATCCGGATACATCCTCTCAATGGTTTTAAATAAACTAGTTTTCACCTCCATATCCGCAATGAAGTTTTCTTGATAATGAAACCTAGAAAGAAAGATAATTTCATAAATAAATTCCATTACACATTTGTATATAAGTCACACAACACAACACAAATAATTAGACAAAAATAGTAAAAACCTTACATCAGATTAAGGTAATATGCCGCCGCATGCAAAGGCCTATGGAGTTGTAAATCCCATCTAGTGTCAATAATTTCCCAAATGCACTTATATCTACCCCTCACATGGTTCAAGTTTGAAGCAATTCCTTCCTTCGCTCCATCTATAGCTTCATAAATAAATCCCATTGTCGGCTTTGCATCACCATCCACAAGCCTCAAAATTTTCACCAAAGGGAGTACACACTTCAAGCAATACTTGATTGCTTTCCAAAATCTAGCATCTCCCAAGATTGTTCCTTGTGCCTTTTTTGCATTAACAAATGTAGAATAGCTGCTTCTAGCCCACTCCTCTAATGCAAACATAGCTCTAAGTTGGAGCTTTCTATCTTGGAAACTTTTTAAAGTAAGGAAGGCGGTGGCAAATCTAGTAACCGCGGGTCTTGTCAACTCCCAATTCTTTGTAAATTTTATGAACAAATCAAGCACCCAAGCATGCCTATAAATGTACACAGCGATTTCCTCAGCTTTAATTATTGTATCTTTGAAAATCGTCAACTCACCTATGTCACTTAACATTAAGTCAAGGCAATGTGCTGCACATGGGGACTGTGGGGGCCGAGTATAAGGAGGTGCAAAGAGGTCGAATAATTGAGCTTGGAGAGTCGAGGTATATACATTGTATTCGGCCCAATCTTGTACAAATCCAAAGGTATCCTAATCGGCCGCATAGCCAGTTAAGCGAGGAGCCGAGTAAATGGTTATATGGTGGATTAAGAGTAGGCCCTACCCTAAGGGCCAGGATCATAAATAAATAGAAGAATAACAACCAAAGAGAGGTATGTGAGAACTAGTACGCTTAACTTAAAATACACGCAATCGAGAGAGTATATACTGACTTATCCATCGGAGTGCTAATTCCGGCACCCCCGACCGGAGTGTTCATTCTTTTTCAGGTTACCAGCTGAGGATCTCGAGTGCCACATTGGATCCAAAGAGTATTTCCAGAACCACTCCCCCACAATTGGCGCCGTCTGTGGGAATACTCAAGCACATCCATGGCGAGAGTGACGGAAGATCCTCCGGTAGTCGCTAGCGACCCTACGCCACAAGACGAAACCATTCCAAGCAACATGCTTGGGCTAGAGAATATTACTGCAAGAAGGGTCTTGAACTTCGATTCACCCTCGACATCAGCTCATGAGGCAATGCAAGCGATTATGGAGCAAGCAAAGCAAAACGAACAAAGGTTGGAAAACATGATGGTTGAGAACGAGCGCCTTCGACAAGATTTGGCCTTGGAAGTGGCAAAATTCCAACAAGCCGCGCACCAAGACCCGAGACGACCTCTGAGAAGGGATGGTCGACGATCTCAGATTTGGAGACATGATAGTGGTAATGGCTCTGACTCATTATCCCCAAAATCCACAAAGGATGGACAAGTCGACATCTCCAGTTCTTCTGAGGGAAGTCCGCGTGCACGAAAGAAGCGAAAAAGAAATGATTCAGACTAATAGGATCAGCATGACCCCTTTGTGCGACGGATTGCAAGGGCAATGCTACCCAAAAAGTTCAAAGCACCGTCATTCACCCTGTATGATGGTAAATCAGACCCCACCGATCACATCCGCCATTACAAGCAAGCCATGACGCTCCATGCAGATGACGAGGCCCTCATGTGTCGAATATTTTCGAGCAGTTTGGGACCACTGGCTGTCATGGGGTATTATAAACTGGAGCTGACTTCGATCAAGAGCTTCCACTAACTCCAAAAATCCTTCAGGGCAAGGTTCATCAGTAATGAGGTCCAACCGAAGCAAGCCGATTCTCTGTGGGCAATGCAGATTCGGGTAAACTGTAGACGCGCCAGAACGTCCCGGGAGAATCCCATTTTGTTCATTGGGCTTACTATAGTTCGAACTCACATGTCACGGTTCTGAATCTAATCTCGCAAAGTGCAATGCGAGGCCGATAAATCACCAAAGAGTCCAAATCTTGCAAATTGTTTTGAAAAACTGATTCTTAGAAAGAAGTGCCAAACATGGACTGTTTTGCCAGATACAGAGTTGCCACCTAAATATTTTATTTTGGGAGAATTTAGAAAACCCTGACTCGTGCCTAAGGCTACATGTCCGTTATCACCAAACTTGCCTCAGCTCGGGAACTTGGGTACGATTGGGGAAGGTCATGCAATGAGCACCCACGCTCGCCCAATCAAAGATCAGCCACTACTAAACATGGTATCGAGTTTTTAAAAACACATGTGTTCTTATTCCAGTTTATTAGCCTAGGATTACTATGTGATGCACACAATATATAAGTATAGACTAGATCGCCTGAGTTGGAACAAAACATTTCATGTTTGTTTATTTGAAAATGGTTTGATGGTGCTACTCGCAAGTAGACTAAGACGTGGATTTGCCACCCTCAAGTGGGCTTAGATAACAGGGTGATTTGCCACTCTCAAGTGGGCTTAAAACTTGCAATCGATGAATTGTTCCAATTCAAGTAATCCAACCGTCACCCACAGGCATTCAGGGAGGTATATCGCATAATCAGTTAGCCTCATGGCAAGCATGCTATTATGGCAGTCGCTCACACACATGCAAGGATGCTAAAGCATAAACACTCACCGAGTACTCTGAGCCAAAGAAAGAAGCTAATTAGAAATCATGCATGAATCCTAACTATGCTGAGATGCCTAATGCAACACATGCAAGATGCAACTAAGATAGGCTCGGCTATTCTAAAATGGCATATGAGATGGTACAGATAACATGTATTCAACTTGGAATTGAAATACAATGCAGTTAGTATGATGCGCAGAGCCCGGTGCATACAAGACAGATGAATGGATGCAATCATACGAGCATAAGGATGCTAATTGAAACATGCCCTAAAACTAACCATCACAAGCTGGTAAATAAAAGGTTGGAAGACATGCATCACACACACGCACACTTATTACAACAGTTGGCCCTCTTGACGGAGGGTCCGAATAAATAATACAACACCAACTTGCTAATCTAAGCTAATCTAATTAAGCTAGTTATTACACAACCAAAATGAATAATAAATTACAGCTAATTATTACACAACTCTAATTAATTAACAATCTAACAAAGTAAGCAATTAAACTAGCATGCAAACTACATGAATGTGGACTGCCTCAGCTCTGCCTTGAATGATAAAGGATGCACGCATGCTCGAGTCGCCTTGTCGGGAAATCCATCGCGATGCCCGGCTTGCCTTTGTTTGCAATTGATTTTACAAATTTGCACAAAGCTCCAGAGAGATGAAACTCCACCCTGGGAAACTATGCGAAGGCTGCCGACCAGCTTATAGGCATGGGAGACTAACTACCGACCACCTTTTGTGGTGGAAATCAAAGAAGGTGGTCGACCTGCCAGAAAACCTGGTCGGCCGACCAGTTTCTTCTCCTGGATTCTGTTTTTCTGCAACAAAGGGAAAGAGGAAAGAGAGAGGCACGACAAGGTATTTGCAACACATGTGTGCATGACCACTCTCCCTGTCATTGCAAAAGCTCTAGGGAGTGTAGTCCTCGACCCTCGGGCCACCGGTCGCGCATCTCAATGCATGATGGCCGAGGAGTCGAATTGCACGACACAATGTGAAATGAATGCACATACAAGCACCTAAAGCCAACAACTCCGTCATGGGTAGTCAAGAGTGTCGGCAACTGGGAATTGAGGCACGTTTCGTCACTTTGAGTATGAAACGTCCCTCGTTTCCCGTGTTCGAACTAACTCCTATTCCGAACACAATGCAACAAAAAATGGCATGCACAATGCGACTTTAAGTATGCAACCTAAATGCTATGCAACTAAGTGATGCAAACATGCAAAGGATGACATACAAACATGCAACTAGCATACACAATGCTATGAACTAACAATGGCATACTCAATGCACGTGGTACTTAGCATACACAATGCACCTGAGAACTAACATACACAATGAGATGAACAAGGCATGTACAATGCAATGATCAATCATGCGACAATGTGGCATACTCAATGCTATGGAATGCAATGGCATACTTAATGCAAAAATGGACTTAAACCAAAATGACTGGGCCTCAGTCATACCCAAATCAGTGGCCAAACATGATGAAAACAAGACTTCAAAACTCATGCTAGCATACACAATGCAAGGACCTAAGCCCAAGGGCACAAAATGCAACTCTACAAAAGCATTGAAAGGATGAAATATGGCATACAATGACACATGTTCCAGCTCTGAAATGACATACAAAATAGCTTTGAATCATGCAAACAACTCACACAATGCATGTTGAAAGGCTCAAGTACCAA